ATTGCCCGACTGCCTGATGCTTGCCAGGGTGCGCCTGGCTGGGTCTCTGATTACCATGAGCCCGTCTTGGATGCTGATGATGCAGCCCGCCTCGTCCAACTGCCCCACCGAGACAATGTTTGTGCGGATGCTCGGGATGAAGAAGAAGCCTGCGAGAGTGCGCTGGTCACCACCCTGACAGCGAAACACAACTGTGCCGCGCCCGCGGATGGCCACAAGCGAGCCGTCCCCGAACCTCACCGTTCTGTGCACCGTCTCATCGAGAGATGTGAAGACACCTCTGTCACCTGTCATATGCTTGTTGGCTCCTGTATCAAAGAACCACACACCGTCTGGAGAGGGCACGGGCATGACTTTCTCCTCATTGAGGTGCACTTCTTGGGGTGCCACGATCTGGGATGCATCAACTGTGCTGACCACGGCCATGTAGAGGCCCTGGTCGTGCTCGGCGTGGGCTTCAGCGAGATTAGCTTGCTCCTACTTGCCCTTCTGTTCCTGCTCTCGGAGCCATGTTCGACACTCCTTCTTCCAGTGCCCTGGGATGCCGCAATGGTGGCACTTCCCTTTCTTCTTCTTGCCACCGGACCCGCCAGAGCCGCCTGCCCCCACGCTCCCCGGCGCACCCTTGCTGGCGCCATGGGGCTTGCCCTTGCCGGGTGACTTGTTCTTGCCGATGTTGCTGCCGCCGCCCGAGGACGAACCACCGCCGCTGCCCACCTTCTCACGGGCCAGCCACTCCTCATGTGTGAGCAAGAGGCGTCCGGCGTTCTGAGTGCCGTCGTCGAGATCATAGTGATCCTCACAGGCAGAGAATCGACCCACGAGCTCCTCAATCGACATGGCTTTCAAATCGAGGAGGGACTCAATCTCCATGGCCATTGGGCGGTACTTGCGCGGCACCACTCGGAGAAACTTTTGAACAGCCTTGTGCTCGGTGACAGGGTCGCCGAACAGCTCTAGATCGGCAACGAGGGCGGAGAGCCGCATCCCGAAGTCCGCGATGGACTCCCCGTCCTTGAAACGGGGATCCTCGAACTCCCGCCGGCGCACCTGCGCCTTGGCCTTGCGGGCGCGCTCGCTACCCATCCTCATTGTCTTGATGGTCTCCCACACGCCGTCTTCGTCGTGTCCTTCGCGGCCAGCACGCGCAGCATATCCGGGGGACGCCAGTGAGGATTATCTGCAGCGCGTGCCGGTCGTCGTTCTCGTCGGCGCCGTCTTTGATCACCGCGGTCCAGACGCGGGCGACTTGCAGCTTGACCTGCATCACAAGCGCCCACTCCTGGTAATTGGTGCGCGTGAGTATCATCGATGCACCCGATTCCTCTCGCACGATGCGCTCCACCATGCGGTACTCGCCGCTGCCGCTGCCGGTGAGGCACGCGACCGGCGCCTTGGACGCAGGCGTCTGCGTTGGTGACCTGGCGCCGCCCTTGTTCTTCCCGTCCGACTCGTCGCGCGACATATGCGCCGTTGCGGATCAGACACCGCCGGTCACGGGAGCAGGATCAAACACCAGGCTCTAATACCAATTGTCGTTGCCGGATCGAGCGCGAGGGAGAGAGGAAGAAAAGCTCACGAATGAGAGAGAGAGAGAGAGAGAGAGAGAGAGAGAGAGAGAGAGGTTTTTTGCGTTGTGCAACTTCACAACTTTTTCTGTGTTCTATTCTCTTCTTATTATTCTGTTACAACAGAAGCCACCCCCAGCTCGCTCACTCCCGGCGGGATTGCCATGATCCGTGATGGCCGCGCCATCCCACGACTGCATCACACAGCGATCAAGTCCCACCAGGAGAGGAGCCAGGGTAAATAAAAAAAGAGAGAACTTGAGAGGATCGTGCGTATGTGCACTGGACTCCCACAACTACGTGCATGTGCCGGTCACATCACCATGCACACACATTATTTTAACATAAAAATCAAAGGACCTATACTATGCAGCCATGCAGCCAACTAGCTTAGTCTAACACACTTGCCGGGCATCAATAGTCCCAGGTATGCTCCTCTCATAGCAGTCATGAGTCCTTCTATCCAACAAGGGTGAAAGGCCGACATGTTGGTGGAGCAGGACCTCCTACTGGTATGTGTTTGTGTGGTTGGCGCCTGATGTGTCGTTTGTCATTATCGTCGGCGAGAGTGGTCTTGAGCCTATGAGTTTTGATGTTTCGAATGGGATTGGCCGTTGTTGTATCCATTTTCGCTTGATTTTCCGTAATTAACTGGGCATCAATTTTCTTCTTAGTTAATGAAATGGGAAAAAAACCCATGTTTCAAAAAAGAAAACACATAGGTACACGCGAATACATGAGACTCAATGTTTTAAAAATGCTAAAAATACGACGTCATATTTTTAAGCATGGCAAATCAAATGATTTTTATGACAAATTATGTTGTTGCAAGGCCTTTAGCGAGTATGGCAATTTCTAGCAAAAACTGAACATGGCAAAGATTTGACATGCTTGCTAAAGGACATTGTAGTTCTCGTAACAACATAATTTGCTATCTTGAGGGTTCGATTTGCCATGCTCTAAAACCCGACGTTAGATTTGTAGCGAGAACCATTTGTTTTTCCCACTACAAACTGCCGAATTGCTATGTCGTTATTCTTATTTTGCCACTCCAAAGAAAAATAGTACACAGTTTTAGCAAAAATTACTACAAACTTTGAGGTGCAATATGGGTTAATCTAGTCTGTTGGATGGATAAAATGGATGGCTCGTATTATGTTGATGTACTGGAAAGGGGCTCTTCCTTTATCATCCCTCAAGACCGCCCTAGCCGTAACCTTAAATAAGTCAAAATCAAAGGATGAATCAACATTAAACTTCAGAAAACCCACATGTGGGGCGAATCAACACTCCCTGGCCAGCTGGTGGCGGTGCTCCAGTTCGCTGATGACCAAGGATAAAGTGAAGACTTGGCATTCCATTATCGCTCTTGTATGGTGAAAATCTGGAAAGAACGAAATCCGAGTGTTCACTAATACATCCTGCAGCGCAAGACCTTTATTCCATAAGATTCAAGTTGACACCAAGAATTGGAGTGATGCTGGCCGTGGGAGAGTTCTACACCTTGTTGAGGGACCCTCTTGAACCTGATTGATGTACCCTCTTGAGCTGACTAATCCCCTCCCTGTTCTTTTTTTGTAATTTGTAAACCTTTATTCCTTCCAAACGTAATGAAAAGTAGTGATCTTGTCTTTTCATCAAAAAACAAAAAAAAAAATGAAAACACTAATGCTCACATGTGTGGGCGTTTCTCAACTTGCCCGCACGTCTGGATCGTTGTTCACTGTCTTTTTGCACGAATCTTGACACGAAAAGGTGGATTTAGTATGCCACATAGGACGGGGCTGGTGTGTGGTCGTTGGAGAGTTTGCCCACACGCCCGCACCATGCTGTTTGCCAGCTGCGCTGTGTGAGCGAACTAGTTTCTGCCTATACAGCCACCACCTAGTTCATGCGCGTGTGGGTGAACTGCTTTTCGCCCACACGACACTCCTACGTTGTGGATGACAACTGCAATTACGCGAACATGGCAACTAGATAAACACACATGGCAACTGTGATTCTTTGCTAGACGGCAACTGCAGTTGCGTGTACGTGGCAACCAGATAAACACATATGACAACTGTGATTAACAATACACGGCAACTATGATTGGACCACACGTGGCAACTAGATAAACACACATGGCAACTACTGTTTGACTATATGTGGCAAGTAGTTAATCACACACGGCAACTACGGTTTGATTACATGCCGCAACTACCAAAAATTAGACATGGCAACTATAGTTAACCAAAACAGATAGAGTTGCCATGTTTTTACAACTACACTTGCCATCCCGGATAACTACATCTGCCAACCAGGATGTCAACTAAATTGTCATCCCGCGGGGTACCTAACGTAGCTGCGCCAGGACGTGTGGGCATTTTTCTTCGTGCCACACACGCAGGTGGAAATGAGTAGTACTTGTTGGACGTGTGACATGTAGTAGCCGCGCCCACACATGTGGGCAATTCTAATGTCTGCCACACACAGCCCGTGTGGGCTACCTCCTACTCACACCACACACGGTGTGTGGACGCATGTCGAATATATCACACGTGTGGCAGTTATCAGCGTCCAAAACAAAAGCATTTGAAGAGGAAGCAAAAACATAATTAGCAGTGAGAGCAGAAATCCCCATAGCAATCTTCTCCTTAAGCATCAGATGTATTTCCCGTCATAAATACCAAGAAATAATTGGCTCGCGTATTATGAAGCCGATCTTATATAAATCTTGATCTGACAAGTGTAGTAAAAAATTCAGAACAGCCTCACCAGCAAGATCAACCTCACAAGCTCTATCAATAATTTTCCAATCCCATCGTTAGCCATGTTGTAAACATGCGTTTGTCGTTTCTCTGACCTAACAGCCACTCTGGCGACTGATTAGACGAACAACTCAATTCATGGGTCGGGCAACGATCGACATCTCCTCTCGTGGCGATGTAACCGGTCTCTCCATGAGAGTTTGGAAATTAGCGTAGCGTCACGTCGAAGTGTTTGTTTCGGATGGTGTAGCTTCAGCACCACATGTTTGTCTATTGGATTATTGGAAGAACTGTCCGTACACAGATTGATGCAGCCTCCGGTGGCCGGGCCATTATGTAGCTTCAACACCATAGATAGGAGGCGAGCACAGTAGCATTTTGCAAGTGGGTTTGTCCGCACGCGTGAATTCCGTCTCGCACGAGGCATGTCTACTTGCTCTTGCTCTGAACCTTTTGAGCCAGCGACAGGAACAGGATTCGTGTAACTCGTGAAACAGAAGTGATAACAGATACATACTCGTGTGTGACTCCTGGGAGCCGAATTGGATTTTCGATACGATATCTGCAGCCCAGATAGGAATGTCCAGCGACCTATGTATATACTGAACTCTGACTCACTCAGGTAGTCACTCACTCCCAGTTCTTTAGCTGAATCTTCTGCTTCTGCACATCGGTCGATCGAATGACTGCGACAAGGGGCGTAATTAATCTGCCGGGTTCTCCTCTCTCGCCGCCAAGTGGTCGCTGCCCCTGGTCCTCCGGCCTACCATGCGGGGTGCTGCCCATGCGGCCGAGCAGATCTCTCCGGCCTACCGTCGCCACAGGTAGCCTGCCATGCCATGCCCATGCATGATCCATCTCGGTCGTCTCGTTTCTTTGATATGTTTGTTTTATACATGCAAACAGCTTCTTCTTCTTTGATATGTTTGTTTTATACCAAAATAGACTTTCGCCCAACTTTATAAATAAAGCAAATTGTTTTATACATGCAAACAGCTTCTTCTTCTTCTTCTTCTTTAATTTTTGCGTTCGAGAAAGTAGATTATCAGTCGTAACGCTGTGCTAATTAGCTAATGGAGTTCTTTACAACAGTGGCCAAGAAAAGGCAGCTGGAAGTCGGAGAAAATGCTGCAAGTTTGCAAAACCGGCTGGTAGTATATACTAAGCGACCTATTAATTCCTGATTACTACTCCTACTAAATTTGCTTTTTTTTCTTCCAAACGGGGATAACCCCGCCCCTGCATCATACGCTGCACACAACCATCTACCAAAATTTGCATGTGACGAGCTCTTGTTCTTGTATGTGTACTTTTCAGTTAGGAGTAATAAATGGCATGTATCAGAAGAAGGTTAGCGAGACTAGAACGAAGCAGCAGCTCCAGGAACCCGAACAGGCGCCATCTTCCCATGACACGGCAGGGGTAGCTACGGCGGCGCGCTTGCCTTTGCCTGCCTCCCCTCAGATCCAATGTTTCCCAACGTCTTCGACAAATATACATCACCAACTATCCATGCTGGACGTCCTTGAAAAGATTGGAATATCCAGGCATTTTGCTGGTGAGATCAAGAGTGTCCTGGACTTCACTTACAGGTATATGAAGTACTACTCGCTACAAGTTGAGTAAAGATGATTAGTCGATCGGTTCTTTGTTTACTGATTGTAGAGTCTCGTGTCGGTGAGAGGGTGTCTGACAAGAGCAAGTTTGCAGTCGTTGGTTGCAGAGAGATGAGGAGATCATGCTGGACACGGAGACATGTGCCATGGCATTTCGTATCCTAAGGATGAACGGATACGACGTCTCATCTGGTATACTATTTCCTTTTAGCTAGTCTCGCCAAAATATGTCATTCTGTAAGCTTGCTTAGCATTTGATTCATTTTTTTTGGGAAGCTTAGCATTTATATATTCTTAATATGGGACGTGTATATTTCCTCACACACTACTAACTACTCACCTGAAAACATGCGCATGTTGCAGATAGCTTATCACATCTTACTGAAGCCTCCGTTCATCTGAATGATACGAGATCTTTGTTAGAACTATACAAGGTTTCCCAAGTCAGTACCTCGAAAGACGAGTTGATTCTGGACAGTATAGGATCCTGGTCAGGTCGCCTACTGAAGGAACAACTGAGATCTAGTAAGGCACAAAGAACGACACCACTCCTAAGAGAGGTAAATACTCAACTGGGAACATACTTGTACCCACAACGTTTCGTAGATAGCCTTAGGATGTGTTCGGTTGTGAACTTGTGATAAATCTTCAGTGCGAACCGTCACCTTGTAGCTCTATCTATGCTTTGTCGATGAAATTAATTCCGGACTTTGTTGGAGACTAACTCTACTTGTATGCTCGGTGATATACATATGCTTTTGTGTTGTTATAGGTAGAACATGCTCTTGATAGCCCCTTCTACACTACGTTGGACCGCCTAGAGCATAAGATGAACATCGAGAAATTTGACTTTATGGAGCATCAGATGCTATGCTTGTATGGTTTTATTCTCCTTTTTTCACAAAACAAGGTTTATGTAATGCATAACTTCACAAGACACCAATGTTATTAAATATCTTAAGCAGGCCTCGGCAGAGAAATCAAGACCTGCTAGCTTTGGGTGTCATGGATTTCAATACAAGTCAAATTGTGTGCCAACAAGAGCTTCAACATCTCGAGAGGTACATCTTATCAACTATATTCGACTATACACCACCAACAATCGTCTTATTGAGATGACTTTTTTGTTTCCTTTCATGGTAGTTGGGTGAAAGATAGCAGGTTAAACCAGTTACCTTTTGCACGACAAAAGTTAGCCTATTTCTACCTCTCTGCCGCCGGCACCATGTTGCCTGGAGAGTTATCCGATGCTCGGATTCTATGGGCCAAGAACGGTGCGCTTACGACGGTCGTTGACGACTTCTTCGACGTCGGGGGATCAAAAAATGAATTGGAGAATCTCACCACATTAGTTGAGATGTAACAATATACACATCGCTTGTTTATCTTTCTAAAGCAATATTTGGTTTCTTCTACTTATCTTTTTGTTGTGCAGGTGGGATAAGCACGAGGAAATTCAGTACTACTCCAAACATGTAGAGATTGTTTTTTCTGCAATCTACAACTCGGTGAACCAGCTTGGAGCAAAGGCTTCTGCGGTGCAGAGCCACAATGTCACCAAACACTTTGTAGACATAGTTAGTCCCATTCATACTTATTTTTGTGTAAATGGTACAATTAATTTTCTCTAACAAATACTAATGTGATTACTGGATTGCAGTGGCAAGATTTGATGAGAAATATGATGACCGAGGTGGAATGGAGAGAGAGCGGATATATTCCAACACCAGAGGAGTACATGGAGAACGCGGTTGTTACGTTTGCATTAGGCCCCATTGTGCTCCCAGCACTCTACTTTATTGGGCCAAAGATTACGGAGTATACCGTCAGAGATACTGAGTATAACGAGCTATTCAGACTAATGAGCACTTGTGGGCGTCTCCTGAACGATGTCCAAACTTACGAGGTATCTCGCCAAAGTTTTGGATTTTAATTCAATGGTGTTTATTATCTTGTCGAGAGATAAACACGTCTGGAATTTCCATGGTAATATTATCACACTCCAAGGGAAAATAGCAGGAGGAGATAGCTAATGATTTTTTGTTGTTGTTGACTATGTTGCTGTAGAGGGAGTACATCGATGGTAAAATAAATAGCGTATCTCTGCTCGTTCATCAGAGTGGTGGCTCGCTGACCATACCAGAGGCCAGGAAAGAGTTGCAGGAGCCCATAGACACATGTAGAAGAGACTTGTTGAGGTTGGTCCTCAAAGAAGACAGTGTCATGCCTAGACTATGCAAGGAGTTGTTTTGGAAAATGTGCAAGACATGCTACTTTTTTTACTACCAAGGAGACGCGTTCAGCTCGCCAGATGAGAAGGTTGGTGCGGTGGATGCGGTGATCCATGAGCCACTCCAGCTCCCCCTGAATCTACACCCTGGTCTCGACTTGTCCTGTCTGCATCAGAGAAAAAAATGATTGAGTATTAATTTCCCTCATTTGTACATATCATTGTAGGTTTGCTTTGGTACATCTCTTTTTAGAAAAACTAACAGAGTGCCCCTCACAAATGCAAGGGCATCATACCTAATAAGTGTGTTAAACATTTTAAGTATTTATTTTTATCTCATGTAGATATTTTCTATTTTTACCTACCCCTTTTTTAGCCCAGATGTTCTACGGTATTTTCACTAATGAGGAAACGTAATGCAATAAGTATCTCAACCAGAGATATGCCCAATTCATGTTTTCCCAACATTATCATCAAGATTTATAGCGTAGAGCTGTAATTGTGACTAAATCGTCATAGATAAATGTCAGTCCATCTGAGAAGGCGATCTGCATTCTTTCTTTTCACTCTATGTTTGCAAACGTATTAACTCTTTCTTCAAAAGTGATGCGTGTTGGAGCTTCCCTCTTAAGAAGCTTGCCATTTCTTCAGATCCAAATATTCCAACGTCCCAAAATAATGACATCAAGAGCAATTTCTTTACGCGGGTTGTGAAAAGCCAGAAGGACTCTTCCATAGATAGAAATTACTTTCAGTTTGTTGGCGAAATGGCATTCCAGAAGCTTTGAGCCGTATCACAATCCTAGAAAAGATGTGGGGTTGTTTCTTCAATGTTATCATTGCAGAGCACATAGTTGTAACAGTCAAGATGCATGGATTTTCTCTTTAAATGATTTTTCTTGTGTTAACTCTATCATGCAACAAATGCCAAAAACAAAGATCTTGTGCCTCAGTCTGCCAGCACATTTCTAGAGCCACTAAACAATGATGTGTGCTTTGTATGGTCCCATCAAACTCTTATATATCTTCTTTTAGAAACCCTGATTATTATGTGTGCGTGTGCGCACAAACGCTTGTTGAAGAGTCCGTCGAAGTTGTGGAACTTGAAGGTTGAGGAAGTCACCACAGACGCCTCGCTATCGATGGAACGTTGTCTTCCACTAAAAGACTAATTCACATTAACGAGACACCAAAGCATAAAACATGGGGTTTGATCTCTAGTGGGATGAGGGTACCGCTGCCCACCTAGCTATCCAACCAGTGGTTGGTTCTCAAACTGGTATTCATCTTGCTGGAAGAATAAAGACCGCCTTTCCATTTGTAAGTCCATTTATCCTTATAATTAGACATAGTAGTTTGTTGAACATGCCCTCCTCATGTTGCCATGACGTGTTGCGCCGTGATGAACGCTCATCCAAACCCCTTGCACTCAGGCCAAACACAAGCATGGTGTGGGAGTTCGCGAGGAAGGAGCCGTGGCAGGTGTATGTAAGCCCAAGTGTTGTGGTTTTGTCACGGCAGATGTTCTCGTGAAAGGACTAAGTCTGTAAGCCATCGCAACTAGGAGGTTGCTTGAGAGGGGTTGACCGGGAAACGAAGGACACAGTTTACCCAGGTCCGACCCCTCATGGTGGAGGTAAATACCTACTTCCCGCTCGATTGATATTGCTTGAGATCTCAATTACAAGGATGCGAATTCGCTAACCTAGCTCTCAGTGATTTTAACCCAACCTTTTCTACCTCAAGGGCTCCCCTTTATATACAGGTTGAGGCCTTGAGGTTACAACAGAGTCCGGGTCGTACTACAACCTGTATCCTATTCTACTTATCCCTTAAGTAAAGAATCTTCTTCGTTGGGCCCTGTTGAGCCCGCCTGCCGAACAATATGACAAGCCGGCCTTCATCTTAGTCTTCTGGGCCTCCATCATTTAGTGATCCGGTAGGTTGAAGTGACCCACGCGCCAGCGTTCTCTGGGCCGGGTCATTTCTCCTGCCGGGTTAATGATGTCAGGGAAATATCCCCAACATTAGTCCCCAATTTAGCTTGGATTTATCCATGATAAATTGTAGTTCTTCTCTCCATATGCTCTGGGCCAGGTCGATCATCCTAGCCGGCTTGGGAAGATTTCCTGTACTTACTATTTTTTTCCAGCCTTGACGGAGACTGAGATGCAGGGCCTCTACCCTCAGGCGCTCGGTCTCATTATGGGTAGAAGTTTGGATCTCTGCCATAAGTATATTTTTGGCATCAATATTTTCCTGATTCTTGGCCATCTGCTCGCGGAGTTTCGTCACTTCCGCGTTGCGCTCAGCCAAGTTTTCCGCGGTCATCGGAGTCCCTAGGAGTGTTCCCAGCGTAGTCAACTCCATCAGAGACTGAGACGGTGTTTTGCTTGAGCCAGCCACTCCCGAAGCCGGCGCGGAGGTACCGGTCCCTCCTACTGTGCCAGTCGCTGTGTTATTTTCAGCCGTCGTGGTTTCGGATGAATCGACTTTGTTGGCCATATAGATTGCGGCATGGCGTGGCAGCTCGGAGGCATTTGGCCTGACTTCGTCATCAGAGTAGCCCCCAAGCCGATCATCATGGAGTAGGAGGATCGAACCGGCATCGCCTACCGGGGATTTGCAATTGGAGTAGACGAGGGTGTCCCCGCCGGACACAGAGTTGTCTGCGAGATCGACTCCCTGAGTGAAGCCTGTGAAGACGTGTTTCCGGGCGGCTTGAGGTCGGTCGGGTTTGGCGTGACGAGCCAGCTCGACGATGTCGGAGCAGATGGCTGGCTCAGGACATAATTTGCCAATCTTGCCGATAAAGACGTGGATCTTGCTGAAGGGGACCCGGTACCCGTACTCGATTGAGTCAGCCTCGGGCCCCAACCTGAATCGTCGATGTAGAGCTTGCCGCGATGACTCTTCGCCATCCCGCCGATCACGTATCCCTCGATCCCTAGGAGAGCTCCCTCCAAGAACTCAACACCACCGTGCGCATGCCCCACGGTGGGCGCCAACTATCATGGTTCTGTCACGACAAATGTCCTCATGAAAGGACTAAGTCTGGAAGCCATCGCAACTAGGAGGTTGCTTGAGAGGGTTGGTTGGGGGAAACAAAGGGCACAATTTTCCAAGTTTGGCCCCACATGGTGGAGGTAAAGACCTACTCCCTACTCGATTGATATTGCTTGAGATCTCGATTATAAGGATGTGAATTCGCTAACCTAGCTCTCGATGATTGTAACCCTACCTTTTCTACCTCAAGGGCTCCCCTTTATATACAGGTTGAGGCCTTGAGGTTACAACAGAATCCGGGTCATACTACGACCCATATCATATTCTACTTATCTATACCAATATAAAAAGACCTCAAAGGGGCAGATCCAAATAATCTCGGTCATCAAAGCATGTCAATCCAACGACCTAGACTACTTTAATGTCGAGCGCTCAACATGCTTAGCGTGCAGTTAATTTCATGACAAATATAGTGTTAATCACATAATAAAACGCAAATAATATTCTACTTAATATCCGCATGCACTTAATATACTTCCAAATTAACGTGCATTGCACGTACACATTGACTAGTCCCTTAAGTAAAGAATCTTCTTTGTTAGGCCCTGCTGAGCCGGCCCACCGAACAATAAGACGAGTTGGCCTTCATCTTAGTATTCCTGGGCCTCCATCATGTAGTGACCCGGCAGGTTGAAGTGGCCCACGAGCCGGCGTGCTCTGGGCCGGGTCATTTCTCCTGCCGGGTTAATGATGTCAGGGAAATATTCCCAACACCACGCGTTCGGTGTTTTCGGTTTGCTCGGTCTGGTCTTTTCGGTCTTTCATAATTGACGATTGGAATTATTTCGGTCTTCTCAATTGTCCACTATTCAGTGCTCGGTCTTTACATGATGGTGTTCGGTCCCGACCAAACAGACAAATTTCATGCTACAACTCAGATTTATGGACATTGCAGTACAAATGTATGCAAGAAAAAATCAGACTCTATGTCTAATAGGGGTCTGCAACCAAAATTCAGAGTTCAGACGCATGCAGCTAGAATTGTACCATAAACATCGAAAGAATTGTGCTAATTCGGTCTATCTGGATTATTCGGTCATCCAGAGAAGAAGACTAGTCTAGCCAATTTTAATTCGATCTTCCAATTTTGACGCCCAAATTTAATTTGGTATTTTAGTTCAGTCTCGATCTTTACAAGTTTGTTTGTCAGTCTTGGGTTTTTATGCCGGGCTTAGTTGTATGAGGCTACCCACGATGAGAAGTATCATATACTAGTACCATGTATATGATACTGATACGTCTCTAACGTATCTATAATTTTTAATTGCTTCATGCTATATTATTTACTGTTTTGAACATTATTGGGCTTTATTATCCACTTTTATATTATTTTTGGGATTAACCTATTAACCGGAGGCCCAGCCCAGAATTGCTGCTTTTTGCCTATTTTAGGGTTTCGAAGAAAAGAAATATCAAACGGAGTCCAAATGGAATGAAACCTTCGGGAACGTGATTTTGTCACCGAGCATGATCTAGGAGACTTGGACCCTACGTCAACAGAGGAGGCCACGAGGTAGGGGGGCGCGCCTACCCCCCAGGCGCGCCTCCACCCTTGTGGGTCCCCTGTTGCTCCACCGACGTACTCATTCCTCCTATATATACCTACCTACCCCCAAACGATTAGATACGGAACCAAACCCCTAATTCCACCACCGCAACTTTCTGTATCCACGAGATCCCATCTTGGGGCCTGTTTCGGAGCTCCGTCGGAGGGGGTATCCATCACGGAGGGCTTCTACATCATCACCATAGCCCCTTCGATGAAGTGTGAGTAGTTTACCTCAGACCTACGGGTCCATAGTTATTAGCTAAATGACTTCTTCTCTCTTTTTGAATCTCAATACAATGTTCTCCCCCGCTCTTATAGAGATCTATTCGATGTAATCTTCTTTTTGCGGTGTGTTTGTTGAGCCGATGAATTATGGGTTTGTGATCAAGTCTATCTATGAATAATATTTGAATCTTCTCTGAATTCTTTTATGTATGATTGGTTATCTTTGCAAGTCTCTTCGAATTATCAGTTTGGTTTGGCCTACTAGATTGATCTTTTTTGCAATGGGAGAAGTGCTTAACTTTGGGTTCAATCTTGCGGTGTCCTTTCCCAGTGACAGTAGGGGCAGCA